CAAACCAAATTGCGGGTGGGTGGGTGGGGTGATTGCGCGAACAGTGGAATTGACAACTCACTGCGAGCAAGACATAGTTCTCCTTCCAAGAAAAGAATGAGGATCCCCCCCGGCTTTACCGATCCACTTTTTTGTATATGGTAATTCACATATGGCTCTGCCCCATCGTCCACCCGAAGTATTAATTCGAACCGTCTAGGCCAGGCCGGCATCGACGCCCACTGCCATCCTCTGCAAACAAAAATATGCGCGCGTACTCGATTATTACAAATCATAAATTGTCAAAAGTCCCTGGCAGCAAATGGGGCGGAGTGCACGCGCGAGCGTCGTCGCGCGCATGCCGAAGTCCTTCAAAAACCTTCGGTTTCGGAAGGGTTTCAAAATCGAATGTCCCCAACACACAATACACATAAAAAGCACATCGCCTCGCAACAAGAATTTCCAAACAAAAAAAGGTGCGCGCGCGATCTTGCGAATCCTTAAGGAAACCATGAGTTGTTCAACATTTTCAGAAAATCAACGGGCTTCGCGCGCGCGTGTCGAAATCACTTGAACGCCTTCGCGCGCGTGCCGTCGCGAGAATATGTTGCAACAGATGGGACGAAGTGCGCGCGCGCGTCGTCGCGCGCATGCCGAAATCCTTCAAAAACCTTCGGTTTCGTAGCGATGTCAAAACCGAATGTCCAAAACATACTCATAAACACAAGGTTTAGCAACATCAGTTTTCAACAAAAGCTTGCGCGCGCTCTTGCGAATTCTTGAAAAAAACCATGTGTTCAACATCTTCGTGTAATTCTGCCACACGGGCCTTTGGCGCCGCATGCCGACATCATTCGCACGCCCTTGCACGCGTGCTGGGGGAGGGGGAGGGCGGGGCCCCCATCCTTGTCGCATCAAACCATGCGGGCCACTCTCGCGCGTCGGCCGCACGCGCGTGTAGAACTCTTTCCAAAACCGTCATCACAGACGCGAAGACGCCGTCATCGTCGTCGGCGTGATCAACATCGGCGCCTGCACTGGCCGCGCCTTCGTCGGTGCGAACATCGTCGCCAACATCGTCACTATCATCATCGCGTCTACCGTAGTCGGCATTGCCATGATACCGCGCCCATCCAACCGCCGGCTCGCAGTGAAGTGCCCGCTGGAATGCGCCCAGCGGTCAGCGCCACCGCGACCGCGTCGGTGGCGCCAAACTAGCTGGCCGCTGCGCGCGCGTGCTAGGGTTGGTGCGGCCGCACAGAGCACCAACCAACGCTGAGCATGCATCGCAATCGCCACCGCATGAGATTTGCAAGCCCAATTGCGCGTGGGTGGGTCGGATGTTTGCAAGAACGTGGGATGTGTCAACTCGTGGGTAAAACCAAGTGCACCACATAGATTTTCGTTTCTGAACGACCGCTTGCCTCTTCGCATTATACTGCTCTAATGATCCTGTGCCACCGTTCATCCTAATTACGAACTCGTATCATCCCAACAAAGCCGTGTCCACCGCCCCCCTGCCATCCTGTGCAAAGTGAACTTTGCGCGCGCACTCGTTTGTAAACAGCCAGCAATTTTCAAACACCCCTTGTTACAGATGGGGCGAAACGCACATGCGGGCGTCGTCGCGCGCGCACCCCGGAATATGACAAAAACCTTACTTCTTCATCCCATTCGGCTGAACTGGCCTCTCGCGCGCATCTCTAACTCATTCGAAAGCTCTTGCGCGCGTGTTGGGGTGGGGGAGGGGGGGGGGGCGGGCGCGATCCGTACCAAATAATATCATGAGGGCCACTCTCGCCCGTCGGCCGCGCGCGCATGTTTGAATCCGTTCACAACTTTCGTTGCGGACGAAAGGACACCATCATCGTCATCGGCATGATCAGCGTCGGCACCGTCACTGGCTTCGCCATCGTCGTCGTCATCATCGTCACCATCACCGCTTGTAACAACATCGGGTGTACCGTTGTTGACGTCGCAATGATACCGCGCCCGCCCAAGTTACCGACTCGCAATGAAGTGCCCGCTGGGAAGGGCCCAGCGGTCACCGCCACCGCGGCCGCGCTGATCGCGCCAAACTAGCCGACCGCTGCGCGCGCGAGCATGCGCTGGCCAGCGCGGCCGCGGAGATGCACCAGCCAACACCAAGCACTCATCGCAACCGCCGCCACATTGGTGTTGCAAACCAAATTGCGGGTGGGTGGGTTGGATAGCAGTGGAGTTAACGATTCACTGCGAATGCACTACAGTAGCTCTCCCACACCCACCACCATGACTCTGGGGAAGGAATGGGCGTGTTCTCAAGTTTCGTGCCTCATCTCCCGAACCTGAATCCTCGATCCTCAAGGTTTTTCAAAGACCAGGCCCCCATGCTTGTCGCGGTTCCCTTAGGTTCCCGGCGGCTTGTCGCGTGACTTGTTCGGGCCCCAGGGGGCTCCAAGACGGGCCAACAAGGCTCCAAGAGGCCGCCAAGACAATCCGTCAGAGCCGCGAGTCGCCGAAAGATCGCACCAAGATGCCCGAGATTGCGTAAATGTTCCAAGAGGCCTCCAAGACGGCTTCCAACAAAGGCCCGAGAGGCAAGATTCACTGACTGTCCGTCAGTTTGTTCCCTATATCCAAAGTGTGGGGTTCTTGTTGTTCCCCATGTCCAAAGGATGGCTATGTTATGTGATTATGATGCTGAAGCTGATGATGGTGATGATGATGATGATGGTGATGGTGATGATGATGATGATGATGATGATGATGATGATGATGATGATGATGGCGATGGCGATGGTGATGATGGTGGTGATGGTGATGGTGCTGATGATGATGGTGGTGATGATGATGCTGCTGATGATGGTGGTGATGATGGCGGAACAACTTCTGAGGATGTCTTGAGCGAGGCGCGGGTTTCAGCACTCCCAAGGGGGGGGGGGGCGCCAGGGGGTATCTCACGCCTCCGTTCGCGCCAAAATGGCGGGGATGCATAGATGGGGTTTGCCTGTTTCGGTGCGCAACATCCTCTGCTTTCGGAGCAGATGTTGAGGAGGTCTCGAGCGAGGCGCTGATTTTCGCATCCTAGGGGGGCCAGGGTTGAGGATGCCTCGAGCGGTCTGCCTATTTTCTTTAGGATGCCACAGGAGGCTCCAGCAGGTTCCAGGCGGCCCCAGGAGGCCACAGGAGGTCCCAGGAGGCATCAGAAGGCCATAAAAGATGCTCCAGGAGGCCCCAGGAGCCTCCTACGCAGATTCCGAACCTTGACGCGATGTTGCGCTCCCGTGGCCACGAACCCCCTCCGCGGAGGCTGCCCGAAAGCGCCCCCCCGCTCAGAGCCGAACACCTATAATTGTCTGCAGTGTGGTGCAATAGGGGCTCGAACACGAGACACCTTCCACAAGAAACCCTACCCTGAGACCCCAAGACGCCCACCGACTTTTTGGTGTGGGAGCGGCACGCCTCCCATCGCAGAGCTATCGAAACCCAAGAAACCCAGGGCACCCTGAGAACAAGCAAGGTTTTTCCTGGCATGGTTCTCCGCTATGTGTGGTTGGGGTCTCTTGCTGCGCCCCCCCCCGTCCTGGAAAACGTCTGCCCTGGACCTGAGGCCGCCCACATCCACCGACACAGCGCCGGGAGGCGCGCCCCCGACGCCACCCGGTGTGATCTCTGCGAATGTTCCTCCGCATGGCTTCAGGACCCTGGTGGCTTCACAAGTGCATCCTTCGCGATTTCGCGCTCGCCCCACCCTGTCTACGGACGTGCTAGGCAACGATCCCGAGTCCATGGCGACACGCGCGCCCCTGTGGCCACAAGCTGTGCTGCACTTTGCACGTGGTGCAGTCGACCGTGCGAAACACGCATCCCCCAACTATGCACAAAACTCACTCCCCTCTCTATTTTCAAGACTTCGTTTTTCACATTTCACGGCTGTCATTCCGAATGCTTCCACGTCAATGTCCGCATGGTTTCCCATGGCTCGCAATTCTCCATGTCACGTCTTTCCCAGTTGCTGGTATCGTGCGCGACCTCCCTTTCTGTATAATTCCTGTTCTTTTTTCTGGTTTCACGCCTGAGACTAGCGCCTCCGTCACGCCAGACGCGGGACGAGGAGGGGCAGAAACAGATCGGCGCGCCACACCCGCAACGAAACACGTCTTCCGTAATCAAATAAGAACCACTACTAGTTCATAAGGATGCCTGCGATTTGTGCGGCATGCGAGATTCGATTCATGCCGTGCATCATAATCAAAACGTAGCACTCTTTCAGGGCACATGTATTCAAGTTAATTATGTTTGCGCGCAATGGTGTGAACAATGCACGGTCGACGAAATTTTGTTCTACCGGAAACAGTGGAGTTACAGATCTCTCCTATACAATCTGTTTGTTCTGGGTCCCGCACCACAATATTGAATTCGCTGGCCCCCTTGTGGGGGGGGGGCAACATACTGCGAGGCGCACGTGTTCCTCTTCCCTGCAACAGTTCCAATTTACATTGGATATACTATCTGCTTGTGTATTGTTCCAGTGTTGTAATGGTTGAAGTTTGCGCGAGAACCCTGGCCCGAAAACCACCCCGCTTCCACCTCATGATGGGGTTATCACAACTGCTCCTATTTTTTGAGCGGCGAACTCGAGGGACGGCCGAACTTCGGAGCCCAGAGCAGCCAGTGATCCCGAACATGAAAAAACTTGAGGCTGTACGCAGACCAGTGCTCGTGATGCCTCCTGCCAATGCGGGGCAAGGCCAAGCAACGATAAAACAAAAACTTCCTTATAGAACTTGACGCAAGACTCCCGTGAGGGGATTGTTGAAACAGTGGCGGAGCCACTCGGAGAAGTCCAGTGGCAAAGTGTGGATAACCATGTACTGAAGTTCCTATTATGAACCGAAGTCGTCTCAACCAATCCGCGCCGAATTCATCTCCTGCAGGCTTTCAGGTCATCGTTTCGGTGGCAGCACCATGCGTGCCGCTCGACCACGCCTAGCAACCTTCATCCAGAGGAGATACTTAATTATGCGTTCAGCAGTGGCTCAACACATTCGGCGATCTGCGTCAGACTCATCCTCGTCGTCCCCATCTTCGTCGTCCGCAGTGTCCGTGGAATCCTCGTCCTCACTCACCTCTTCGTCCACGCCTCTCATCTTTCTGTCGGCGTCCTTCAACTCCGAGGCGATCTCGATCCGCCTCTCCTTGCTGAGCAGTCGGTAACACCCCGCCTTTGACCACCAGATCGAGAAAGCGATGAACCCAACCACGATCGCGGCCCCGATGAGCCCGCCGAGCACGAGAGACCGATCCATGAGTGTGGAGACGCCGATGGCGACACTGGGAATCGCTATGAAGACGACGAAGACATAGATAAGCGGGGTGGCCCGAAACTCGGACGCGTAGAGACCGAGCGTGGTGGCACCGAAGATGATGAAGGAACGCATGAAGGGAACCGGGTACCAGATGAGTATACCGAAAATGTTGAAGAAGAGGTGGCACAATGCGATGTGAACGGCGTTGAACTTGAAGACTGTCAGAGCTGCGATTATGGCGGTACAGCAAGTTCCAATGTTCGCCCCCAGGGTGAGGGGTAGCATCTTCTCGAGGGTGATCAGGCCAAGAGCCGCGAAAGGAGTCAGAGCGGAAGTGACGACAGAACTTGACTGAGCCACCAGAGTCATGCCGAGGCCAACGAGCATCGCGAGGTAGTTGTTCAATTTGGTTGCTGCGACGATGCACTTCTTTGCCTTGCCCGAAAAGAGCCAGTGCAGCAACTTCGTCACCATGAAGAGGCCGAGTATCAACAGCAGGAGGGCGATAGCGAGAGCCACCAACCCGCCCCACGTGTCGCCCAAGGGGTGCAAGAGCCCCCCCTTGATGACCTCGTGCTCCTGGACGTGGTGCTGATAGTACTCCCCCGCATTGATGTAGCACTTGTCGGCTTCCGCGCAGGGCGAGGCGGGAGCCGTGACGTAGCCTTCGCAGTGGACCAGCTTCTTGTAGCCGGACTTGCTGAGCTTCTTGAAGTACCCGTCCATGTCCTCGCCGATGCAGAACACGCTCGAGCAGTCCTGCAGGTCCCCCGAGGCCTCTTCCAGGCGCCGGCCGAGCAGCGCGCGGGGACTCCCCAGACGCCTGGACGCATTGGCCAGGGGCTCGCACACGGCCGCGTCGACGGCTTCGGCCGGGATCGGGGCGGGGGCGCCGAGGGACAGCGCGTAGATCACGTACTTGTTGTTCTTCAGGAAGATCTCCTGGACCGGCTTGGTGATCAGCTTGATGGGGGAGTCGAAGACCTCTGAAGGGGCCCCAGGACACAAATAAACACACACAAATCAAATCATCCCCCATGTTTTCAAACATTTTCCGGGTTTCTGTCTTCCCCCCCACTGCCCATATTTTCCCATGTTTCCTGGGGATCGACGATTAATTGTGTCTGTGTGTTTTTTTCCCTCCTGAACCTCGCCGCTCTGCTCGCCGCCCATGAGCAGGATGGTGAGCCAGTCCGTCAGCCAGAACAGCGGCCCGCCCTGGCCCTGAATTGCCTGGATGATCACCTGGAGGACCAACAGGCGGCAGAAACGTACACTTTTGGAGCTCCGCGCGGACTTCTCGCATCGGCGCTGGACCCCCCTGGCGGCGCCTCTGGCGCCGCATCTGGCGTGCTGCACTCGCCAGGGAGGGGGATTACGGCGCCGACTCAAGAAATCCGCACGGACCTCCGGGAGTTTGTGTTTGTGCAGCTTTCCTGCTCGCCAAGCACCTCCAGAGGCAGGAGCGTCATGACGCTCAGCAGGTTGAAGCAGTCGTGGACGGTCGCGGCCGAGAAGGCGCGCTGGAGGTCCACCCTGTCGCCGGCGAAGCCCATGGACACGATGGTGTTCGTCACCGATGTGCCGATGTTCGACCCCATGATGATGGGGATGGCGTTCTCCACCGAGAGCTGCCCAGCCCCCACGAGGCCCACCACGATGGACGTGCTGGTGGACGACGACTGCACCAGCACCGTGGCCAGAACGCCGACCATGAGCCCCGCGATCGGGTTGTCCAGGCCGCTGAAGATGCTGCCGGCCCCCTTCCCGCCCATCGCCTGGAGCGAGGACGACGAAATCCATGCACATATCCGCTGCTCCCTGGCCCTGGCCTTCGCTCGGACGTCCACTCCCTGTTTTTTTGTTGGTTTCGTGCGTGGTTTTTTCGCCAAATGATAAAGGATGCTCCTCGATGGTCCTCGCCGAAAGAAAAATGCACACGTCCGAGCAATGCCAAGGGCCAGGCCCGTTCTGAACCCGGCAGCGGTGGGTACGCCACACCTTCCTGCCTTGGCCAGGAGGGCGTATGCGCAGCTCCCGGGTTCAGGATGGGCCTGGCCGGGGAGCAGCGGCCATGTGTAGATCTCGTCGCCCCGTTTCCCGCCCGTCGCCTTGAACGACTCGCCCAGCAGCTGCAGCCCGCACAAGAAAATCCACAACGAGCCGCACACCCCGATGAACCCGCCGACGAGGCCGAGCGTCGTGGTCGGGCCCTTCTCCTCGGCCTTGCCAGGCTCCTCAGGGTCCCGCGTCGTGGGCTCGCCGTCGACCATCTCGAGCTCGCCGGGTTCCTCTGGCCTCTCGCCGCGGTGACCGAGGCGCCGCGGGCCTTGTGCCGAAGCTGAGCGGCCCGAGCCACTGTGGATTGAGCCAACGCCGCTGCGGGATGGGGCCCTCGCAAGGTTCTTGGGGTACCTTGGGCCGCGTAAGAATCACACCATCCCTCTGGGTGTAGGTGGTCTAGCGAATTTGTTTTTTTCCAACTGCGAAGCCGTCCTCCCCTTTGGGGAGGCTTCCAACCCTCCCTGAGGTTTTTTCGAGTCCTGGACGGAAGGGTTAGCGCGCCCAAGATGGTCCAAGATGGCCTCCAATACGGCTCAAAATAAGCGGATATGGTTTAATATAGCTTCCGACGTACCTCCGAACGTCCCCAAGCGGGCCACAAAACGGCCCCATGTCCTGTCGGAGCCCCCAATGGACCCTCCCGAAAAAGGCCCAACTCCATCAACGACCAAACGAGCAGCAATGCTTTTATCCTTCACGCACGTTCGTTCTTTGTGGGCTCCTGAAGCCCCAGAGTGGCCCCAATATCACCCAGGGGAGCACCAAGAGAGTCCGAAGATGGCCCCAGGGCGGCCCAAATATCGCCCAAGAAACGATTTGCCTGCCTCTCTGGGCGTGGGGTGGGAGCCAAAAGCTTCCACCCTTTTTGATCGATGGCCTCTAAAATCGGTCCAGGGGGGCCCCAAGTCCTCCCAAGGAGCCTCCAGGGGCCATAAAAGGCTTCCAGAATGACTCCGCGATGGCTCCGAAAAGGCTTCCAAGAGGCTCGCGGAGCGAAGGCTTCGCGAAAGCTTCGGGGAGGCATCGCTGCTGGATGGGATGGTGGGGATTTTTTGTTCGCAACCGTAGGCGCACAGCCGCGCGGCGTCGAGGGGTCGTGCGAAGACCAAGCCTGCGCGGGGCAGGGCGGATGCCCACGCTACAGCAGGCGAGCGCGGAAAACGGCGGGGCCGAAACCGAGCGCGAGCGGCGAGCGGGCGAGGAAAAGGCCAGGCGACCAACCACGGCTCAGCTCAGAAGCCGAAGACCACGAGCCCGAGCGCACCAGTGAACCCGACATCCTCGAAGGGGCACGCCGCGTCACCGTCGACGCGTAACCCCATGTGGGGGCCGCGAGGCCGTCGTCAATCAGCGTGCAGTGAACCGCCCGACGTAGGCTCACAGTGTAAGCGTGCGCGGACCCTGAAGTGCGAACAGACCCCTGCATCTCAAGTATCCCCATTCGGCAGAACGAGTCGCCAGAGGAGCCTCGGCCAGTGAGGGGCATGTGAGCTCCTGCCGCGAAACCGACCGCATAATATCACCAGCTGCCGGCCCGACCAGCCCTGCGGGGGGCGCCGCGAGACGGTGGGCGGCCGAAGGAAAACGTCGACCCCCCTGGCCCGCGCGCCCCGGGAGGGGCGCCCAGGGCCAGGGGCGTGCTGTAGACGGGGTCGCGGCTAATAGCCGCGGAGAAATTATGACAATACCGTGTGTGGGGTCGCAGCTAACAGCCGCGGAGGAAGGGGTGCTATGCTGCGAGCGGGGTCGCAGCTAACAGCCGCGGAAATAATGTGTTAAGGGCGGGCCGTGAGCCTCCAGCGGGGGGCGGTCGGGGCAGTCGAACTGGAATGAATCACTGTCAGCATGCCTCGACGCCCCGGGGGGGGGGGCGCCAGCGCGCGCATCGAGTCAGTCGTGCGTGAGTGGGCGCCCCTGGTGGACGCGGCGAGGGCAGCCCAACTGAAGAGGGGGGTCGCGGCTAACAGCCGCGGAGTGAGTGGGGAAACGCGCGGGCCAGAGCACCCCCTGCGGGGGGGCCGCAGAGGGGGGATGGGCGGGGCTGCCCGATGAGGCCATGGCGCGCAGGCCCCGGCGCTCCTGGGGGGCGCCGAGGGCGCGGGCAGAGTACGAACGGCATCTGCAGCTAACAGCCGCAGGGCAAGTAGAGACGCGGCGGGGCGAGCCCCAGAGGAGGGGCGGGGAGGGGGGCGCGAGAGGCGAGGGGGGGCGGTTAACGGCCGCGGTCAATGTGAACAGAGTGCGAGGCCGCCACGCGGGAATCTGAAGGGGGCGGGCAGTCAGGCCGGATGGCCAGAGATGGGCCAGGCACGCCCGCGTGGAGGGGGTCCAATCTCCGAGCCGCCTACAGCGCGCCGGGGCAATCACCCAGGGGGAGAGGCCGCAAAACGCGCCCCGGAGGGGGCTCTATGGCCTAGGGCGGGCCGGCAGCCCCAGCTGGGCACGTCCAAAGTGGCATTGGCGCGCGCGGGAAGATGCGCAGGAGGGGCCGACCAGCCCCGTTGGCCAGGAGGAGTGGGGCTCCGAGAGGCACACTGATGCACGGAGTGGGGCGTCCGCGATTGCCGTTGCGCGCGCCCGTCTGCGCGGCCTGGGCGGGACTTAGGAGTGCGCCCAGGGCTGGCGCGAGCCCGCTGCCCTTCTGGGTTCCACCGTCCTTGTCCAACGGGTGTCACTGTCTTCGCGCGGCCCCTTGCCATTAGCCTTGCCAGGGGCGCCCGCGGCCCCGGCTCTGTCGTTGAACCGAGCGCGGACTGCGCCCCAGTTGGCCCCCAGGTGGGGCGCAGCGTCCATCTTGAAGACATCGCACCTGTGACTTCGCCATTCTTTGAGGAAGCGTGCGCAGGAATCGGGGCGCTGGCGCGCAGGGTCAGCGCAGCTGCGGCCCGGCGGCGGTGGATTCCTGCTCGTCCATTGATGCCGTGCTCCGTTGCAATAATCACCCAGGTCTCTCTGTAGTCGTTTCGCGGCCTCGGCAGGGGCCTCGCCAATGGGGTTCAGGAGGTCGACTCGCTCCAGGGGGGCGTCGTATATGTAGAGTCCTATCTCTGGGTCCTACAGGTCTTGTGAGAAGTCGGCCTGCGCGCTCCTGAAGGATGGCCAGGGGCCTGACCGGGGAGCGGGGAGGTCGTCGGGAATAGGGTGTGCGTGCGTGCGCGTGGGCTGGCCCCAGCGGTCGTCGGCCCCCCCAGCTGGGCCGCCCTGCCCATTTTGCCCAATGGCCACCGCAAGGGCTACTGCGACTAGTCTCGCGGTGCCGGCGCGGGCGGCGCTCTCGCCATCCTTCGCCCCAGTAACTTACCCCGCGACGCGTTGGCAGCCCGGGTTTGCCAGGGTATGCTAAGGGGAAGCGGGGGTCCTCGCTCTGGGAGGCGCGTGAGATTCCTGTCGTCTTGCCCGGCGAGCATGGGGGAGGCGCGTGGGCCATCGACGGGGGAGGTGGGGCTGCAGGACTTGTCAGCAGCCTCGGGGCTGCCGGAGGAGTGAATCAGCAGGACCGGGGGCTCCGAGCTCGGGGTCGGAGACAGGGCCGCGGGTGCCCCTTGGCGCCCCCAGCGCGAAGACTAAGAGGGTTGGCCGCCAGGGGAGCCACCCGCAAAGATTTCCGAGCCCTCGCCCCCGCGGCCGGCTGTATCGTCGTCTCCCGTGGCGGGGGGGGGGGCTGCCCGAGTGGGCCGCTTGGTGTGTGTGGGGGGGGGGGCCGGGGGGCGTCAGCGGCGGGGCTCGCAAGCCGCGGGTGGGAGTCGTCAGGGGGGCGAGAGCTGGCCCTGCGGTTGCAGGGTGGACTAGCGGCGCTTCGCACTGACGACGCGGGGGGGGGGGGGGGGGGGGGGGGGGGGGGGGGCGCCATCTCGTTGCCCCAGTCGGGGATTTCAGGTGCTCTGGGGGCAAAGGTGTGGAATTCTGCTGGTGGGTCTGCCGCCTCAGAGTGCTGCTCGCCGAGCCGTGCCCGCCAATCGTTGTCGCTGTGCTCCCTGATGGGGGTGGTGTCAATCTGTCTGCAGAATTCCTGCGTGACTCCGAAGGGGAAGTCCTTGGCCAGCTCTTGGAATGACCCAGAGGCAAGTTCATCTGAACTGACCTGCGTCAGGAAACCGACAAGGGCCTCCAGGGCGCGGCGTAGGGGGGAGGGACCACATAAGGGCCATTGACCTGAGTGCTGGAGCCACTTGGACAGTAGGGTGGGGTCCGTCCAGTGGGCGCAGAGTTGCGCGACCACGCGGGCGGCGGCTAGCCGCTTGCCTTGCCAGTGGAAGTCGTTGGGGAGGTAGGCTGGCGCCACCAAGTTGCCGTATACCCTCTTCAGGAAGGGGCGCAGTAGGGGTGGGTCCCAACTTTCGGGGGCTTCGGAGCCGACCGCGTTCCTGCCGCGCTCAGCGGTACAATCTCTCCATTGGTCGTCCAAACTTGGGCCCAGGTCGCGCAGGAAATCAACCAGCCTGACCTCGCTGGGCCTGGCGTCCAAACGGTTCCGTTCCGACTCCTCGGCGGCCTCCATGTGGTCGATGTCGATGCGTTTCAAAGCTGGCCCTTCAGGGGGATCCACATCGGGTAGGAGGCTGTGCAGTTCCTCGGCCCCGCGCGGTGTGGGAGGGCGTCCGTATTGGTCCGGGGCGGTCAGGCCAGGGGCACTTCCGTTCTTGCTGAACGGGACAGGCTTGGTAGCGGAGGCGATTGGGTACGAGCTCTCTGGATCGCGACGGCTCGTTGGGTACGGGCGGAGCTGAATGCGGCTTGGAGGTAGGGGGGCGAGGGTCGACCAGGTGGGTGTCCCGGTCGAGACTGGGCTTGGCGTCCCATGCGTGAGCGAGGCATTGGTGGCACATCCATGTGGCATTTCAGCTGCGGTTGGTCCAGGCGACGGCACGGTCCTCCCACGCCGGGAGGCCCCCCGCGCTTGCTTGCCGCGACTCTACTTCTGCCTTCCATACGAAACAGCCGTGCGCAGGCGTACCTGCCTGCCAAGAGAGCGGGGGGCACCGGGTGGGCACCCGTCGCACGTGGCCGTGTGAAGCTTGGATCCTGCTGCCGTGTACCCAAACCTGCTGGGAGGCGGTGGGGGGTAGTGGGTCCACGGGAGGGGGCCTGGAGGGGCTACTGGCGAGCATAACGGCCTGTACCTTCTCGGTGAAAGAATAGTCTAGGGACAGCTGGTGACCTTCCTTCTCGACCACATGTGTCCAGCACTGAACGCGCAGCCATGTGCAGT